TAATTTACTGAATATAAACTATACACAAATCTAGTGAGATAATATCGACGCCTAAGTTCAATACTGCAATAACTCAAATTATAAAACTACTAGTTTTAGAATGAAATAAACGACCTCTAGAAGTGAATAATGAAACTAAAATTTATTGCGTTAAAGAATCGAAATCGTCGTAATTTTGCAAATAATGTCACGTAGATAACTCAATTCTGAATATTTTTGAGTTATTGCAGTCTAGAAATGAGGCGACGATATAATAATAAAACTTAAATAAAATTATAAAGTATTTACGAGTATATCATTATATAATTTATATTTAAGAGTATTAAGTATGATAAAAATTAAAATTAAGTTATCAGTTTTGATTAAAATGTTATATATTGAATTAAATTTGAGATCTCGTTAACTGTTTCTTTTTTTTGTTTACTGTATTTCTAAATTTAACAAAATTATAATATTAAATTAATGCTAACTAAAAGATTTGATAAAAAAAAATGTCTAATTTATAACTAGTTTAATCTTTTATAAAAATAATAAAAGCTTTAATATTATTAAAAAATATCATATAAAATTAATAATTCAAACAAATGTCGATATATTGAATAATATGAAGAATATTTTAGTGACTAGTTTTATTTATATTTGGTACTTTTTATAAAAAAAAAAAAAAAAAACGTTTTTTCTATATTTATATTTACAATTGAAACGGAAATACAATGACTGCATTTTCCATTGTCGTTCAAATGAAAGTATGATTTTTTAACGTAAATTCAAAAAATTGAAAATCTATACCATCTTATACGATTTTTATTAAAAATCGCTACTTTATTGAAAGTATAATAAAATAAAATATTAATTTTAACATGCTATTCACGATGGTATAGTAATATTACTTTCATTAATTTTCAAAGAGAAAAATTGTATTCTCTTACTTTTAATGTATTATCAAACACGTGAATTAAAAGTCAACCAGTAAAGTACTAAAGAAATTTGCTCAAGAAGACGAATAAGGACAACACTCTAAATGTATATACACATATTTTACGTGTCGGAAAAGTTGAGTGTGATTTCAAATATCGTTTTGGTTATTATGATCGAACAAACAATTAAAGTAAACCATAGCGTATTTTAAAACGATTACTCGTAATGCATTTTGCAGGTTAGGGAAAAGGGTGATTTGCTCGTCAGTCAAAACGGCTGTTGAGTAATAATTGACAAAGTACAATGAAGTTAACGGGTCACGAAAAGATAAGGGGGGAATATATATCAGGTGATTTGCGAATATTTCATTGCAAAACTTCGATCTCTGGGAAGAGACTACATTTCGAGTTGTATAATATAGCCGTAGGGTAATAATACCACGGAATTGGTGGAGGATGCTGTCAATTTGTGGTAGTGTATGCAGTGTGCTGATGGTGGTGATTGTGATGGTGGCGAAAAAGCAATTGTCAAAGGCCATGTTAAATTCCCTCTGGCTATTTTATTAGATGGATTTTTTTTTCATTTTTGCTCTCGCACCAGTAACGGACCAGTATATTTCAAAGATATCCTCTCGGAATGAAAGAGAAAAAGCAGCATCCTTTTATTTATAATAAAGGCGGATGGAAGTCGGTTGGGGTAATTTGTACGTGAGTGTGCGCGCAGATGATCACGGAGGTGATATATAAGAATGGTCGATGAGAAGAAAAAAAAAACTTTTAAGGTATTCGGCATTAAATGAGATTTATTCGTCGGATAACGTTTTGCAGTAAGGGGGATCCACCGTACGGCCATGATCATCTAAGCTACATTGTGTGCTCTTATCGAATACCGGAGATATCCTTAGATTTTCAAACTTATTAGCACCTTTATCGCGCGATTTAAAGGATAAAACTTGTATAATAAGGGATTATTACGTCCAAACAACCCATCAATCCCCAGACCATTGTCCGATCACATGTCATACGAGCTTCCAATAAATGAAACATTCTCGTCCTTTATTTACTTTGCTGTCGACCGTGACTACTAACAATAGCCCTATGGTTTACCTACTTGTATGTAATAACATGTAGTATCTACTGCCAAAATTTGTAAAATTATTATTTCTCATGCCTACACATTCTGCTATCAAAACCTTCCGAATATCGGAAATACGTGTAGTATACTTTCGGTCGGTAAATAATAATTGATAATAACAGAAATGAGAACAATTTAATCTGTCCGTTTCTTTGTAGTTTATTGGGTACGACATGTTATCGCGTACTGATCTAATCATCACGTGGACAATCATATCAATTAAAGAATCAAATATTTATTTATTATATATTTCTAACAGATATAGAACAACAATATATAATTAGGTAATGTACATTAAAAATATACAATATTTAATTTTCATTCATTAATTTGCAATTATCTAAGTGTCACAACATTCATGATTTGGCTATAACACTTTTTTTGTTAATAGTCACTACTCGTATGTGCTTCTTAGTATGCACTGTAACGGTTGTTAATATTTATTCTACACAATACTATAAAAAATCTTAAAATATAAGTTAAGTATAAGTTTTAAATACATTACACGCATTATTCATTGTAACAGGTTTGATTTATATTTTGTCGTCTGCTTTTTTTGATTAATTTCCGATTTTAATATGTGATGTAACAAAGATACATATGAAAATCGGAAATTAATCTGATGTACTCCAAATAATAGCAAACCACATTATTGGTATATAACTGAATATTTTACCAGTAATATGTATTTCTATCCACACGTTTATTTTTTTGCAGTTGATTTATTTAAATTATTTAATGTAACAAGATAATGTTTAATCATACAATTATTGTATAGAGTGTAATTTTATTATACTAAAATTTGTTTTATCATTAGTTTCAAAGAATATCAGTTATTTTACTATAAATGATTTCTTTGGTGCACAAGAGTTTTATATTAAAAATTTTGTATAGGTACTTCTAAAAATGATTAAACATAAGCTACTGCGATGCTATATCAAAACTTAGATTTTATAAACATACGAAAATCATTACTTGGCATCTATATATATATATATATATATATGTTTCGATGAATATTTTACCGATATCAAACCGTAACTGCCTAATGCAAGTATTCCAAGAAAATTCTACGAACAAATTATTTCGATAGTTACTCGCGTGTTTGAAGAATTTTCATAGCAAACCTTCGATCCAAAAAGTTTTGAATATACTTTGATATTTGATGGGAATATAATACACAATTTTTTCTGCTACAGCAGTTATTTCAACCATCGTTAAAAAATAAAAAACAAAACTTTTATATAAACGAGTAAAATCTAATATTACTTTAATAAAATACGTTTCAAAAACAGGTGAATAATTAAGTTTTTCTTACTCAAATGAACTGTAGTTTATCGAAAAAAAAGTACCTCTTATCTTGTATAATAGAACGAAGAAAATGCATATAACCGTCAAATGAAATATATTTCTCAAAACTCATCAGACTTTACGAAGAATTTTACTGATAAAAAAAATAAAAAGTCTAATATTTTTTCTGAATTACTGTGTAGTAGTATCAGTACCATCAAGCGCAAATTATAGGTTAAAATGTTCTAATTAATATACATTTTGAAAACTTTTCTCAAAGAGGTTATAATATCTAACAACGAATATTAGTCGTCTTACCGAAGTGTATTACTCCAACCGGTGATGCATTTTAAGGTAAAGAGAAACGAAACTAATGGGTTATCATTAGAACGAGTCACTGATCAAGTGTTATTAAATAGTTTATCTTCTCTTTCAATCGTTACAAATTGGATTTTCATTTTATTCAGTCAGATTTGACATGGCGAGCAATTTGGCCGATTTAAATTTCAGGAACATAAACGAAAAATTACTACAAAATATCAGAATTTTTGTATCGTGTGGACTACGTTTCCGAAGAAATGTTGAATGGAAATACAATACAATTAACTAAACGGCCGTAAGAAAAAATCTAACAACATTTAGCTTTTTAATGCGGAACTTTTAAATTTCTTTCACAAACTTTTACAGATTCTTCTTCTTTTTTGTCTTTCACAAACTGCATGCTGTTATAACTGTGACGGTACCACTCCCTACCGATATAATTGTTGTATTTAATTTTAACTTACTTGGGTGTACTACTGTGCAGTAACTGCAACTGTTGCAGTAAAACTATTGTTGCGGATCTAGCACAAATCTTCACTTCTATACAACAATAAATGATGCCACAGATATTCTTTTACATACTATTATTTTAATTATATTACATTAAAACATTAATATTGCTGTTTTGAACATAAAAGTTGTCTCACGACCATTGTACTTATATCACATAACCTAACGTTGTCGCCGCGGGACACCTTGTATTGTGTATTTAAGGGTGGTTTTGCCAATACACATTCCCTATATCAGGTAATAATTGGTAGTCCTTATCTTTATAAAATCATTTTTGTCCATTTGTACATTTCATTTCGTAATAAAATGTTATCAATACTATATTATTACTAATACTCAATCAATACTGTAATATGACTAATATTATTTGTTCATTAAGGTGAAGCTTTATAAAAACGTTTTGAATGAAATGTAACGAGAAAAACGTAATAATGTTCTTAATAGTTAATCAATCATAAAAGCGATTGTAATGTTAATTATTCATAGTTAGAAATTGAATCTTTGTAAAAAAATAATATTATTTTGCTGTACAGGTATAAGAAAAAAAAAAATATGAAATTCCAAATACTCCTTTCGTAATTTACGAATCGTGAAATTATCAATGAAACAATGAAAAATAAAAGTATCCTAAGTATCCCCAATCACACGGTAAACTTCACACGAATGAGATTTTTCCACGCGTCCAAAATTCGCACAGGTCGTGGTGTTTTGAATAAATCCCCCCTCGCGCGCGCAGCCGGTATTGTTTAAATGCGCCCCTCGGTATTTTGGCGTTTGCACCCGTATCGCATGTTATTGACCGGAACTTGTCGATCGTTGTGCTGCAGGAGGATGAACGTGACGGGATTCCGGGACGACTTCACTGGCGACGGACACAGGGCTTGTGGGGCCCGGGTGACGGTCGGCACATACTACGTGTTGTTCGCGGACGTCGTTAACGGTCGACTGGTAGCCAAGGATGGGCAAGCGGCGCTGGTTGAGTGGACGGACAGCAACGAGAGATCCGTTTGGCATGGGCTAGGTGAGTGTACGCATTAAGGTAAATTTAAAAAATTATTATTATTTTCATTCTAATAAAGGTTTTATTGTATATATATATATGTATATACAATATACAAAGACATAATTAATGTGTATTTGTTTAAAGCTTAGAAACTATAAGCCACTTTGCAATACATTCAACTTGATAATACTCATTCCACAATTCTTGTAAAAGTATAAGTATAATTTGTTCGATTTAAAATATATGTATAATATTTATTTTCAATTTCATTAAATATTTTTTAAATCCATTAAAAAAATGAATTACAATGGTAATTTTCGTAAATTAGTAAGGTTATGTGGCCAATCACTAATTCAACCCTACAATATTAGGTTAAAACTTTTAACTTAATAAAAATTAACTTTTGCACTTAACATAATGTTCACCATCAGTTATACGGTCTGTTATACACCAACATGTCTTCGTATACAACTTACACTAATGTATATGTAAAACATATTTTGTAAATTATACACAGTCATCTAATGTGCAGCCACAATTCATATAAGATGACAATGTAAGTTCATTTACAAAGCAATTTGCCGATGTTCCTTCAGTCCTATATCCAGTCAACTAGTGGTAAAACGAAGTTCGATATAACAAAAATCTCGATATAACTTATAAAACTGTCGGAGCCTTAAAAACCTCGTGATATAACGAAAATTGAAATGTATTTTGGTCCCCTCGAAGATTTTTTGGCTAAAGTTTACGCAATGTAACAAATTTTTACAATTTTTGAGATTGATACTGCACATTTTACGAGTTTGATTCGGCCATTCTTATGCGATAAGATAATGTTAATGTATCGTTTATATGATACACGTCTGTTAAATGTAAATTGTATTAAATATAAATAAAAATTTGTTGCTTTCGACAAAGATTTAGTTATCTGTGGATTTCTCAATGACGATGAGATTTTGAATGAAGCTGATGACGAAGAGCCCCCCGTAAGCTCGAATGAATTAGGTCTCCGCACCGTCTTAAGTTTTTTACAATGACATGATATCGATGACAGTGTATTTTGTAATATTCTAAATTTGAACAACACTATTAATCGCGTAAGCGCAAATGTATACACACAAAAAAAAATAACCTATTTTTTAAAAATATAAATAAGTATGTATGTAATAAACAAAAAATGTATGAATGTTTCTAATAAAATATTTAATAATAATCTAATATTGTATGTAGGTATGTAATTATAAAAATCTAATAAAATATAAATTTTCTTTTAAATATCGTTTAAACAGATTTTATTGATTTATGTTTTTGATATAATAAATTTCGATGTAACGAACTTTCGATATAACGAACTTTTTGCTGGGTCTCTTGAAATTCGTTATATCGCGACTTAACTGTACATGTATATAAGTATATATTTACACAGTTGCTATGCGGATGAAACCGTTTTGCGGTTTCTCCTGTAGATTGAGTAACCGGTCAATAGTGTGCAAATAATATGCATGTGTTACGTGTTAATTATCTCCACTCAATACTCGTCGACTTGTTAAAGACGTGCTGGAGCGTACGTGGTCGATATATTTTACTGGCCTAGTATATACATACATACATGGGACGAGATAGATGTATCACCAACGGAATTTTCGATGCAACGGACCGTGTCCGAGTAAAACTCCAAATGTCAACAAGTTATTTATTACGAGGGCTTCACCTCGCTCGGTCTTCCCGACCCCATTCATCTCCTGTAGTGCCCCATGCGTGTCTACAATGACGTGTTCGTCGACTGATGTACACAAAATGTCCCCAGCGAACCGCAACGACAATTGGTCAACGGAGTGCCTATTTTCCCAAAAGTCGATACGGAGCAGAATACAAGTACCCAGGATTCGCCTAACCATATCATTTTTTATACCATCGTCGGTGCTTTTCCCTACCCGATCAAGTAAATATTATGCACGTAGTTTTTCAGGGGAAAACTAGAGCATTTTAATTGACTCTTACAGAAAATGATTTTACATAATTGTGCTATCGAAAATACTCGTATTATACATTTCATTATGCCATTAATAGTTGTAATGTTGCGCATTATTCGAGATTGTCACATTTTAGAAATTAATAAATTTCGACACAAAAAAAAAACACAAATCAAATGATAAGGTTTAAATCTAACGGTAAACCATTGTGATCTTATGTAGATTAATCCTTAAAAGAGACCTCTTTTGATCAAATGATCATCCACCATACTTTCATACACAACAAGTTCATCAGACCTTTAAAAGTGTATTTTAGGTCACTCCATGAGTATTGAATTCTGAGGCCTTCCTTTTATGTGCACGCGGGATTAGCAGATTTCATTAATCTAGTACAACTACTTCTAAATACAAATTCTGTATAAGCATCAAAAAGTGTTCTACGTTATATTATCAAATCTCGTCTGTTCATTTAATTTTAACCTAACTCTATTCCAATGATTGACTGAGGGAGTTGATGCGGGGGGACTGTATATCCCAACTTAAATATTAGATATTCTAGCGTATCTCTACTATTTTTTTAAAAAAAGGAAGCATGCGATGGTACTTTGTTTAAGTTCAATTTTTACAAAATTACAAAAAGTTAATATGTTTATAAAAAATAAACCATTTACAAAGTTAGGTTTACCCCCTGATATATAAAACTATATAAATGGCTATTCCTAAATAATTATTAGTTTTTGATATAGCGGAATATGGTTATGATTATAATTAAACATCAACATCTAAAATTTTTAATTTTAAATTGATAAGCGATTGTCATTATAAAAAATGTTGTTTCGGAGTTTAATGATACATTTACATCCGGTGGACCAGGGGTGTATTTAGAATTACTTCTAGGAGGGAGGGGGGTGACTCAATTTTTTCTTTAATTCAGGCTCAAAATGTACAAGTAAAATGTTTGGTAATATTTAAATCAGGTAAATCCTTAATATTTGTAGTTTTTTTTTTTTTTAATCTAATGTCAAATCCACTTAGAATCGACTTTTGTATAGTTTTTTTTTAACACCTGTCTGTGTTTTGAAAGTTACGCTTGTATTTTATTTTATTTTTCAATAAGTTTGGATCCAACAAAAAGCCCAATTCAATATTCATAGCTACGTGTAATTTGATTTCATTATAAAATGATCCACATTAAAAAAATTTGAAATGTATATCTCACATATAATCGATCCATTAAATATGGATTCAGAGGAGGAGGGTATACGCCCCCTTCGCTCCCCCTTAAAATACACCTCTGCGATGGACACATTTTATTTTGTGTACTATGTGATTATTTATTTTTTTTAATGTATATACATGCATATTATTATGCATATAATAATGATTTTAGAAGCATTTTGCAGGCATATTTATATATTTTATAGAGCTGTAAGTCCTTAAACCTAATTATTAGTTTTCTTAAATTATTTTTTTTAATTACATTTCAAGAATGGTGGAGAAAAAAAGTTGGTGCATAGGTACTGAAATATATACTGTGAACTATGGTTTATAAATGTTCACTGCGCCACTACATACTATATTTAAATATTAAAGTTATAGTTCAAATTTTGAAAGTGAATATAATAGGTTGTAGAATATTCGTTGGTTTGCGATTACATGTTTAAGGGTTTCATAGGGTGTGAACCAGTGGCGGCCCTCAACACTTTTATAAAGGGGTGAACTTTATTTATATATTCACATTTGTATATTTTCTTAGTACGATATAGGTCCGTGAAGTTGGCCGCCAAAGCAAAAATTTGGTACATAATTAGTAAGCTATTAGTAAATATTAGTAAGCATAAATTCAGAATTTGTAAGTACAACCCACACCGATTATCCGTAAAACTAAATTTCCAGCTAACTTCCCAGCAGCTGGAAATTTTTTTATTTTGAATTTTTGGCATGCCTACACTTAAGTAAGTAATTATTAAGTATTTGTAAGCATAATTTCCAAATTTGTAAGTCAACACTTACTCGATTATCCCAAAAAGTTTGCCAGCCGGAACATTTTTAAATTTTAAAGTTTTTTTTTTTTTTAAATATTTAGTTGGTAATTAGTAAGTATTTGTAAGTCACCAACCAAAACTATTAAGTGTGTACTTTTAAAGTTGTATCCAACCAAATTTTTATCAGCCGGACAATTTTCGAATTTTAAAGTTCGTTTTATTAAATATTTAGTTAATTAAGCTAACTTCCCGGCTGCCGGGATGTTAACCGGAAATTTAGTTTTAGGGATAATCGGTGTGGGTTGTACTTACAAATTCTGAATTTAAGCTTACTATAACTTATTAATATTTTAGTAATTATGTACCAAATTTTTGCTTTGGCGGCCAACTTCACGGACCTGTACGATATACATAAAAAACAAAAATTTGAAGAAAAAAAAGGTCACAAGGGTAATTTCCCCATTTGCCCTTACCCCAAGGACGCTCCTAGGGTAAATAATATTATGTTCAGTTTATAGATAAGTATGGATGCAAAATTGGTATGTGTCATTAGAGTACCTTTACTATTTGTTTTTTTTTTCAAGTCAAGCATTGCTTTATTCTTGTAATAAACATAAGTGCTTGGATCATCAACACCTGAAAACCGACTACGAACCAAGCAAGTACTCTTTTGTGTAACATCCAAAACTCTCCATTTGTACTGATTGGACTTGAATATTTGTGACCACCATCGCCTTATCTTAAATAAAGAGAATGGTAAACAATCTAATCCAATTTATATCGATCTAGGACATTTCGGCGCGGGCTTTTCGGCGCCGGCATTTCGGCGCGAGGCCGTTTCGGCACAAGGTACGTTCCGGCGCCAGGTGTTATTTTCTAAAATTGTATACACTATACTAATAAGTTATAACATTCGTACTGCTCTACCTTATCGCAGTATAACTTTAATAAAAACACAATAGCTTAGGAAAAATACAGAGTGGTCGGGATACTTTTTATTGCCAATTAGAAGCTGGTAAAAGCCCACCGAAAAAACAAAAAAAAAATTTAGATATTGATA